AGTGATTCCCTATATAACCAAATTTTTCCCACAAAAGGGCCCCCCCCCCCTGGATCCGCCTATGTTGTGTAAGTATGAAGAAATGTCTGAAGCTTCATGAACAAAAGAGGGTTAAAGAAATAGCCAGATTCATGCAAGTTCAAGGTTTTAATACAGATATCACATACACTTATTTATGAAGATACGATTAACGTCAAATGAACCCTGCAAGACCTGTAACGATAAATACACTTTACAATTATTCCAACACACAAAAATAGTTGACCTCTTCCTTGTAGTATCTGAAAAAGGGTGAAACTAAAAAAAAAACTGAAACCTGCCAGACAAAGATGTTCAACTTCGCAATTATTCCATTAGCCAAATTTGGTTGACCTACTGCTAATAGTATCTTAGAAACATATCTCATCAAATAAACTTAACATGAACCCTGACAGAGTGAGACAATCATTCCATACACCAAACTACTGCTAATAGTATCTTGTTATGTACAGTATTCTATTTTAATTAGACTATAGAAAGCAGCAGCAGTGAGTGGTGAACAACTTTTAGTTAAATACCAATATGCACATATTCCTGAAAGTGGTTTGATGGAGTTACCTAGATCTGTAGGTACTAGAATAGTGTTTGATGGATTGCGTAGAGATTATTTGTGATCATGTACATAATCACAATCTTAGTTCACAGGCTGGTAGTGATGGCCAATTTAAGGTGTCCAGCATGTCAGACACACTGCTCATAAATGATACCTATTGCAGATATACCAAGCAGTTTGCCTCTCGACCATTGATTCTGAAGTGTGTGGGCCCGGACTGAGGAAGAATACTCTAAAATATGGGGGATTAATCCTTGTTGTGTCTGGCTCTTGATACGCTGGTCGGATGTTTTGAGATTTTAAGATTTTGTTTTAGAAAACCTAAGAGTTTTGTTACTTTTAGTTGATTTTATAATCATTTAAATGTTTGTCCTATTTATTGTTTCGGCCATACCTGATGGTGGATGGGGGGTCCTTCTTTTCTGTAAGACCGCCTTGGTGGTCTCGTGGTAGCGTATTTGCCTTGAGTGCTGGAGGTTGTGGGTTCAAACCAAAGACTTTAAAATCGGTATTTGCTGCTTCACCTCTAAGCATGCGGCATTAAGGAGTAAGAGCAAAGACTGGTCGCATTGGAGTCAGATTAATGTGTCCGGGTAAGGTGACATGTCTTCCTGCAGACTGTTACCTTGTGAACTAGCACGTTAAAAATCTGGCTCCCTGAGGTTGTGAGTTCTTATCCCCAACTGGGCAAGTGTGTTCGACTCCAATCTTAATTGACTAGGATTGTCAGTTTTCCCTATCAGTGATTCTCTTCGGGCACTATGGCTACCTCCTCCAAGAACTATGGAACTGCCTTCAGTTTGATCAATTTCCTCTAATACTCAAAATCTGTTTCTGAGTTCAATGACAAACTTTTGTTTGATTTCAGGTTCTTTCAGACGGTTGACATTGATGATCTTTCTCCCAGGTTTGTTATTGTCTGGTACCTTTTTCAGCTTTAGTTGGATTTTAGCTATAACTAAATGATGGTCGCTGTTCACATCTGCTCCCCTAAATGCTCGGGTATCGAGTGATGATCGTCTCCATTTGCCATTTATGATGATGTGGTCAATCTGATTTTTGTCCCTGTTGTTTGGAGAATTCCACGTAATTTTGTGTATGTCTTTATGCTTAAGGTGGTACCCAACACCTTGACTAATACTAATTTGGCTCGTTTAATTTTCATAAAATTTTGACAAAATGTTTACTTTGACCCTTTGACAAAAATATAAAAATTTCAAAAAATTTGAACCAACCACTTTATCAGAAAAATTTCATTGGTTATATAGCAGTTTGACAAACACTAATTTTGATCATTGAGAAGCTTAATATTTCCTCAACAATACAACGTAATTAAAACGTTTAGCTGATTTTTACAGAGTTATCTCCCTGTAGTGTTAGGTACCACCTTAAATAGGGTTCCTCCAATTACTAATCCATTAGTTGAACACATATTTGCCAGTCTCTCGCCAGTCTCTCACCATTCTCATTCATTACGCCATGACCTTCTTTTCCCATAGCTCTTTCAAGTTCTGTATTTCCTTTCCCAACCTTAGCATTTTGGTCTCCTATAATAAGAAGGACATCATGTTGTGGTGTTTTGCTAATCTGAGCCTGAGGAGCTTCATAATACGCATCTTTGATTTCTTCTTCTGCATCGTTTGTAGGCGAGTAGCACTGAATAATTATTGTCTTGGCATAGCTGGAATTAAAGCGAGCTCTGATCAATCGCTCATTTATAGGTTCCCATTCTATAAAGCTAGAAGCAGTGACCTAAAAATCAATTGGGATCTTCCTCTTATTATCCCAGTAAAGTTGCAATCTATATAATATACATTTTTTCATTTGAAATAGTATCTTTAAACCATGATGTCCAATAGACTGATGGACAGGTGGAAATTCTCAATGTGGAGTATGAGCTAACTCCAATAGTTACTTATAATATAGACATGATTTATGAATATGGACATAGGCTTGTCACATTTGAAGAAAGTTTGTGACCTTGAACTTTAAACTAGAGATTATAATTCTTTCTTTTTTGCAATAAAGGTCGTACAAGTTTTATCATCAGCAACCCCCTTTCTGCACTTACCTCAGTTTATTTTATTCAACTATAAGTAAGACCAAGGATCGTTATACTATAAAAAATATTTGGCTTGTACTGACCCTACAACCAGTAAGGATCTTCCTCTCATTAAATGTGATCATATATGCAAGGTTGGTCTTATCCCATGTAAGGTTTGAGGTTATCTTGAAACCCCTATTCTGTATTAATTTCAGTTCATTTTCAATTACAATGATACTCTTCTCATGATCTCATGTTAAGATCTGGAGCTATTCCATAACCTTGACCTTAAGAGTAGACCTAAAAATCAATAGGGATCTGGAAACCATGATGACCGACTGGACTGTCAAACAGATTGCTCAAAAACTATATACCCTGCCATTTCAATTAACTCCCAAGGGTCATTATTGAAACAGAGCAGACATCATTCATGGATATGGACATCCAGTGGGAAACTTTGAACTAAGTTTGTGACCTTGATCAGAAGTTTCAAATTCATTTTGAATACTGTAAATTCCGAAATAATTGCATGCCTTTATTATTGCGAATTTTAAAAAAAGAACAAAAATGCGAGTTTAATTATTGCGATTTTAGGAAAAGCTACATACATATATATGTATTTGATATAAGAATGCTCAAGAAGTCGCATTATTTGTATTAATAAAAGCCTCGTAATAATTTCTGAGTTTACATAAAACTGAGAATGGAAATGGGGAATGTGTCAAAGACACAACAATCCGACCAAAGAGCAGAAAACAGCAAAAGGCAACCAATGGGTCTTCAACACAGCGAGAAAATCCCGTACCCGGAGGTGGGCTTCAGCTGGCCCCTAAACAAAAATGTGTACTAGTTCAATGAAGATCGACATCACACTAAACTCCAAAACATATAAATGAACTAATATTAAAAAACATACAAGACTTACAAAGGCCAGAGGCTCCTGACTTGGGACAGGCGCAAAAATGCGGCGGGGTTAAACGTGTTTTGTGAGATCTCAACCATCCCCCCCTATACCTCTAGCCAATGTAGAATAAACAAACACACAGCAATAACAGTCAAACTCAGTTTAAAGAAGTCCGAGTCCGATGTCAGAATAGGTAACAAAAGAAACTAAGCAAAATGACAATGATACATAATATAACAAGGGACTACTAGCAGTTACTGACATGCCAGCTCCAGACCTCTTTTAAACTGATTGAAAGATTAGGTCTTCATCATATGAAAATCAAGCACAATCCCTCCTGTTAGGGGTTTAGTATCATACCGTCATAAAATATATGAGAAGAACATAACCCATATCATGCCAACAACTGGTTTTAGAATAAATGTGTCTATTTCCGATGCAAAGACCCTATTAGTGAATCAATATTAATACAATAAAAATATGCCATCTTTAATGACCTGACAACAGTATCGTAACTATGTCCCCTCTGGTAAGTCTGTTTAAAGGTTTGGTTAGCTTTTGAGGTGAGTGCCAACATTTTTGTGCTATAGTATACATTCTGGTTGCATTGAACACTTTTTCAAAGTATCATCAATCAACTCAAAAGGGGTGCAAAAGATAGAGTAATTCTTGATACTGTTTAACTTGTACCCGTCATTTGTAAAATAAAAGAAGAATGGGTCGGGGGACACGAATGCCCCTCTAAACTTTGCAATTCCAAGTTAAAAAGGGGCATAACTCTAGAACGGTAAATGACTCACAACCCAAATTCAGACTCTGTTCTTAATATTGTGTTGGGAGTTTCATAAAATTTGCATGAGGCAAAATAAAGTTAGAGTGCAGAAATGAAAATGGGACAGACAGAAGGACCAACGGGACGGTCAAGGGTAACATTTAATGCGCCTGTTGCCCAAGACGGGGGCATAAAAAACATTAATATCATTGAGTAAAGAACCTTTCCTGACCTGGATTCAAATGTACCTTGTTCTATAATCTTGAGTTATTCTATTGGAGAAGGGGGAAGATCATTTCTAAAACCTGGCCATACCCCCCATCAAGTTTGTGTACCAGTCCAAAGTTAGGAATCTTGTTGTTGGTCTTATAAGTGTGATTTTTGTCTTTCTTGGGATTTTGGTTTAGATGACAGATCTTATGATAACCAATGTTAAATTTATTCCCAGCTTGTGTGTGGGCTATGAGTCACTGTTAAATTTACTCCCAGCTTGTCTGTGGGCTACAACACATATAACTAAACATAATATATCTATTATTGACGACCATATCTTGCTCTATGAGCCTTTTCTAGTTTTCTTGTCATCTGTTCACATATACCCAACACCTCTTTTCATTCATGTTGAACAGTTTACAGCCAATGGGACAATTGTCTTTTCAATTTTCTTAAAGAGACAAAATTAAAATAATTAAGATTTCTTGTTTATTTTGTATAAAATAAGCCCATTTAGGCTTAAACAAATACTAATTGTATTCAACTATATATAAAATCAAACTTTTGTCATGCTTAATATAGAATCTTTCATCCTCATTTACATACAAGTACATTCATTCATAGCAATTGATCATTGCACAAAACAGAACTATAAGCCTATGCAAAACAATATTTTACTATAAAAATTTACCAACCTAATAATGCATTTCATGTCATTTTTTGCATAAACAAAGCTTTTTTTTTAATCTTTTCTTGCTTAGGGAACAAATTTAATGAAACTTGTACAAAATCTGAAAAACTGTCGAGTTTACTGGTTTGGTAAGATCATTTAGTACATGGAATGTAAATGTTTGAAGTTATTTATCATTAATAAACTTCCTTTGAAGTATTTTTCATGTCATAAATTAGTTTTGTAACTGAATTCAATTGAAATTGAAATAAACTGTTCTAATAATTATTGATATATGTATATAATATGATATTGCATTTATTTTTGTATTTTGCCAACATCATCAAAACAAGAGACAATTTTTTTTTGTAGGAAAGAATGCCTGCTTTTATTATATAGAATCAAGTTATCATGTACAAAAAAATGTAATGACCTTGAATATTTTGCATAGCTGTCTACATCTATGATAAAGTCGTAAAAAATTTTGATTGTAAAATAATTCATATCCTACAAAATATTTGACAAACTTGCATATTATAATATTTTATTCTACTGTATTTGGTCCCAAACATAGAGCTCATAATATTTCATCCAATTATTTAATATTATTCTAGTCAGCATTTTCTCAATAGAATCAAATCTCATATTGCCATTTATATCATATTTCATATTAACAACCATAATATGTCCATATCCAAGCACTGAGTTAAAACATTCAATGATAAAGAGTAAAAAAAAAATCTAGCACTATTGTAAATTATTCAAAACTTTCATTGCATTTTTTTTAAATCTACAAAAAAGATCTGCAATTCAATGCCTCAAAGATTTTATATCAAATTTGATAGTTACTGAAAACTGAACACAAAGACAGGATGGAAAAGCCAACAGAATACAAATTGTTTGATTATTGTGAAATTGTCCTTATAATTTTCCTTTAAAAAATGAAATAAAATAAATAATACAAAATCTGATATAACCTAAAACAATTCAGTATAATGAAACTTATTGAGAAAGAATTACGGGAAAATAAAAGCAAACTAATGACTAAATAGAAGAATAATACTTTATAATACTTTAATCTTTTCAATTCTATAGCTTTACTTTCAAGAAGTAATCTATAGGTTCTTATCTATACTTTATTAAACCATCATTAAGAAAAATACATGCTTATAACAGTATTTGCATTTACAAAACGCATAAAATTTTCAATGAAAATTTACAAAATTTACAGTATGAACACATACTTTGATTTGATTTAAGTATCACAATATAAACATTATTGTACAATACACAGAAACTCATATATTCTTATCAAATCAAAAACAAACCTTTAACAAATAATTTTTTTTTTTTTAATACAAAATAATTCCTTATTATTAAAATGTTTATTTACTGAAAATGAAAAAAAAATATAGCAAAAAGTTTTTGAAAGCTATCTTAACAGTGCATAAAATTCATTCACAGCATTCAACCTGATTCTTGAAAATCGGTAATTATGCGACAAGCCCTAATTATTCTATTCCAAATCAAAAGGAAAAAGTGATACTGAATTCAATTTTTTTCTTAATTTCTTGTAAAACTGATATCATTTCAAAATCAAATAGTTCATAGTAACCAAATATTCAATTCAGAAAATATTTTAACTTTTTCTTGTCTGAAATATCATATAGATATATTTCTTTTTTTATTATTCATATCATTTTGTCTTATTGCTTATACTAGCTGAAAATAATTTTGCATAGACACACAACCTAACAAGAAGTCACATGGCATGACAAGGGAGACAACACAAGGTTATGGTGGATATTGGGGATGTTGGATAGAGTTTCCTGGTGGAACTTGTGTCTGTGAAGGTGGTGCTGGATAAATTGCTGTAATTAGAAAATGAAATATATCTAAATTATCAATCAAATTTAAGTATTTACATATTCACAAAAAACATTTAACAATTGAAAAAAAAAAAGAGACATAGGGCATTTATAATATTGAATGCGAGATCAATTAGTGCAATTTCAAAAAATTCTGCATACAAATTAAATAACACTATCAAATTTTAAAATGCAAGCTTTTGTTTGTGTAAAACCTATCCGGTCACAATTTTTGCAATAAAAAAAAATAAATCTGGATTTACATTCTTATTTTGCTATTTGTTTCTTTCGCTTTCCTTGTACATGAGTGAGTATCAATATTCCACTATTTAATGATTTTAGAATTTTTCATTTCTTAAGCTTTTAGTTTCCTTTTTAATAGAGTGCTTCATTGTGAGTCATTATTAAAGACCATATGGTGACTTCTAGCCTATTTTTTGTTGCCATGGGTGGCTTTTTCATGAATTTTTGTTTGTTATTGATTAGAAATAAATCATGCAGATTGCAGTATTTTGTTCATTGAAGTAGAAATCTACTTATTGTTCTGTGTTTAATAGTTTGTGACTTCTACAAAATATTCAAATAGATAAAATAAAACAATATTTTATTTAACCTTGTTAAGTTGTAGTCTCTTCAATGTTTACACCAAAAACATAAAATATTGAATGAAGGTAATTTTCATACTCGAAAGAAACAAATTTTCATGTTAAGTCCGTCTAAAATTTTTAAATTCAGTAATACATGAAGGGATAAATACGCAACGCAACTACTTTAAGTCTTCAAATTCTGAATAGACTAATTACTTTAAAAAATTACATCAAGTTAGCTACTTTTTGGTATATATTTCATGTTTTATGGTAAAATCATTAATTGGTTAACCCCTGGTGTCTGAGTGAACAATTACTTACATGGATAATGATATACAGGATATGCTGCCTCTAGTACATGGGTATGATGATGTGTGTGAACATGTCTCTGTGTTGGTGGGGAACTTGTTTCTCTCATTTTATCACCAACAGATAATGGTAATGAAATTGGTTTGTCACTCTTAGTCATGTTAGTTGTCACAGGTGACGCTGAACGAGATACGGCTTTCCCTTTTTCTTGCAGTTCATGAATTTTATGACTGGCACTAGTGTTTGCTTGTGTTGTTGGATCAGACTTCTTTAAATCCATTTCAATAGGTCCTGCTTTAGATATCGGGACGACCTTTTGTTTTTCATTGTCAGATCCAGCACCTGGATAATTAATTTGTGAAGGATGAATATAATTTGTAGGATAAACCATGTTACGATATGGATCGAATGGGATATGTCCGTATGAGGTTGGTGGGGACTGAACAAACTGGCTGTGATAGAGGTAGGGAGAATAATGAGATCCGGAAGGAGACTGTGATAGTGATGTATGAGGGCTGGATGGTTTTGAATATTGGCCTATTTTGGATTTTGGAGTGTCTACACTACTACTCCGATTTTTATCTGAAGGTGTCTCTGAATTTTTTAGTTTATCAAACGGTCCTTCATAATTCTTGAATTTATCACTTTTATCAATTGATCTTTCATCAATACTTTTAACCTTCTCCGATGAAGGAGTTCGAGTCCTTTCCTCGCTAGCACTTTTAGAAGTCATACTTAAATCTGGAGCTGAATCGCTCCGATCTTTTAGTTTACTGAATGGTTCTTGTTTAATAGTTACATTTGGCACTAGACCTTGTGGAAAGTCTTTTGATTTTTCTGCAGAGAAGGGACTATTATTACTAGAAACTGACTTATTGCCTACTAAATCCACTGGACGATGTTCAAAACGATTGTCACTACCTTTCTTTTGCTCAACCCTTTTTTGATGTTCTATATACTTTTGTTCTTTGTACATTTGCATCCTCCGAGCTTGCTCTTCACTCATTTTTCCATCCTTCTGCCCTTTCATTCCATCAAGATTTTGCTGCTCAAAGCGAATTTTATCAATATTTGGTTTAACATCAAGTTCTTTAGAACTTTGCTGCCGATTGTCATTTTGTTGTCGTTCACGTACTGCCTTTTGATCTTTTTCAGATTCATTCGTACGTTTAGTATCTGTATGAGGATATCCACCTGAATATTCACTTGAAAGATTGTGTGGTTTATTTTTCATTGAATCAACACATGGCCATGATCCACTAGCGAGAGATATGTCAGTAGCTGATGATCGACTAAGCGAGCGAGGAGATTCAAGATCTATTGGGACACCCTCTTGATGCATTCTTTTCTGTTGTTCATCAATCATTTTCTCAAAATGCTGCCGATATAATGGGTCATTAGCCATCATATGCATATGATAATTGGGATCTAAATAAGGTCCATACGCTGCCATATACTGATACTGCTGCTGAGGAGGTAAACTCTGTAATGCATACATTTGCTGTTTAACCCATTGCTGATGTTGTAACTGTTGAAGTTCATGTTGTGATAACTGCTGAGGAGGACGATCTACTTTATCACCAATATTGTCACCTGTTTTTTCAGTTTTTGATTCGTCTATTTTTGATTTATTTTCAGCACTTCCAACAACTTTTAAATGTTCTGATGGAGTGCTTCTATCTTTAACACTTGGATTTGTCTGTATCTTTTGAATGTTTGTTCCAGGTGATCCTTGAGCTGCAGGTGACAAGAGGTAAGGTGATGGATTGTAATAATTCCCGTACATTCCGTATTGATTTAAAGGTTGATTATCCAGGCTCACACCTGGTGTAGCACCTTGTGAATCTTTGGGTTTGACGATTTTCTCATCAGTAATTTGTGGACTAGCACTTTGTGCCGGTGACCCAGCCTCATTTGCATCAGAAATGTCAGAATAAGCTGGGCTCTGCACATCATCATTAATGTTTGATTTATTGCTTTCATTTGTTATAACTTGTAACGTTGGTGTTACTTTTAGAACACTTGCTTCAGTTCTTGGAGTATGACTGAGATCAACTACTTTTGGTTGCGGCTGCACTTGTCCCGTAATAACACCAACATTTGGTGGATAAGAACTTTTATCTATTAATGGTCCAGATTTTTCTTTTTCAAAATCCATTGGCTTACTTATTGGCATGACCTCCTTTTTAATAGATTCCAGAGGTTTTGCCATTATCGGTGCCACCTTTATAACACTACTTGTTTCACTTTTCTTATTGTCAGGCTTCATTAGTTTTGCCGCTGCAATGTTTACATTTTGTAACGCTCCGTTTGCATCCTTATCTTTTAATTTCTTTTTATGTTTCATTTTCTTTTCTTTTAACTCCTTTAGCCCAATCAGATGCTGATTAACAGCAGCAGAATCACCTAAAACTGTTGGTTTTGGCTGAATGGGTTGAAACTGTGTTGTACTTGATACATGTGTATGTGTAGTAACGGGAGCTAAATTTGTATGTGTCACTGTAACATTAGTTGTTAAGGCAATCATATTTGAAGGGGCAATTGGCCTACCCATCACTTTCGGTTTTATCAATTTTTCAGTCTTCCCTGATGAAAGTTCATTTGATTGTGAGTTTGTAGTAATAGCAGCGAATGTAATAGGTCTAGCTGATTGCATTGGACTAGAAGAAACAGGTGTTACATTCACAACAGGGGGATTAATAGTAGTAGGTGTCTGTTGCACAGTTGTTGAAGCAGAAGACAGAGTTGTTTCTGAACAAACTTTAGAACTAGAAATAACGGCATGGAAAGAATGCCCGGCCCCTATTGTAGGCTTTGTCACAGTACAACTAGGAGAGTTAGTTGAAATTGAATTATCTTTCTTTAAAGATTCATCCATATCCATTTTGGTAACTTCTGCAGTAGGTTTTACTGTAGGTTTCACAACATTAACAATGTCAATTTTGTCAGAATCATTACTGTCCCCTTTTTTATTGTCCATATCCTCAATACTATCCATATCAATCTTCAGATTGTTTGAACTATTCTCACCGCTCTCACCCATATTGCTATCTAAATCTTCCAGCATAGAATCTTCTGTATTATCCATATCACGTGATTCCTCATCGCCCTCTAAACCAACAGCACTATGGGCGTGAGATTGGTGATATCGTAATCCATTCATGTGTCGGTACTTTTTCTTACAATTTGGCTCTGGACATTCAATAAAATTTGGCACAGGACTTTCACTACCATCTCCCGGAGTTCCACGAGAACATGAACGGCTACGTTTAACTTTGGCATTATCGTTCACAGCATTTTCCATTTCAACAGGTCTTCCTTTACGTTTTAAACCAACCGATGCTACAGATATATCAGATTTAGCTGGACTAGGAGGGGCAGTGAAGGTATTACTGCCCTTTCGACCTTTACGTAAAGTTCTTCCTTCCAAGCCTTTCTCAATAACCGGTGTACTGTTTGAACCTCGTCCTCTTTTAGCTCTTCCTTTTGGTGTTCTAGCATCCATATCACTAACAGGTGAATCACAATTAAACCTAGAATAGAGGATCTTTCATATATTCTTCAATGTTTCATATGTGTTATATATGTTTAAGTTACATGTCATGAGAACAGCATTTGAATATTTTTTTAAAGTGTTCAAAATTCTGGAGAAATTGCCATTTAAATCTTATTTTTTTTTACAAACACAGTTGCTAGCCACAAAGTGATTGATGTCAAGAAATATTTTAAATCTTTGTTTTAAATGTTTTTTTTTAAAAATCATGGAACTGAGGGTCATATTGCAGTTAACTAACTTTGGTCATTTCCCGTAAGTGTATGGATTAAAGAAACGCAAGGTACATATAGTGTTGTGAAGATAATTGAACTTTCCATAAATTTTCATTTGGCCAAAAGTGACATGAATTATTTTTCATATTAAATGATAATATTAATGTTCAAACAAATACAGCAGTGTTTTACTTTGATCAATCATATCGTATATTCAAAAAATTAATAAATCATTTAAAGAATTTAATGCAAATGCTTCATTCTGAATTACATAAGAAGTAAGTTTTATTGTTTATATTATGAAATATTTTATAATTACTTGGCAATTTTACTGAAACAATTTTTTTTTTATAAGTTCTCTTTCCATATTCATGACAATATAACACAATTTAATCATCAGCCTGCTTTCCTGTTCCATACACTTTGTTTATAGAACAGTGAATAGATAAATACAGGGAAATAGAGCCAATATAAGTCACAATTATAGTGTTGTAACTTGAATTATAACAGTCCTAATATCTAACAATTTCCATGATTTTATACAGAAAGCAGGATAACTCTTACTTTATTTAAAATATACTTTTTTTAAAAACTATGGTGTAATTAGGAATAATCAGGAAAAATATCAACCTAACTTCTAATCTATTTTGGTAAATCAGAAAAAAAATGAAAATGAAAAATTAGAATACAACAAAATTCATGCTTTTGATTGGTTATGGTATTTTCTTTGAAAAATTTCCATGCTAATAATTTTTGTCCTTCTATTTACTTAGTCCACATCTAAAGCCTCATTTTAAAATAAATTCTTTTGAATTATCAATATATAATTTTAGTTACAATTAGTTAACACAATTAGCTAACTGGTCTTAATCTATTATGATTTTATATGTATTAGATGTTGAAATAAAATAAGCATTGTGTATAAGTTTCATAACATTTGGTTGAGGCAAACTTGTTGGAGAACGGAAACGAAAAATTCAGCAATTTTTCCATTTGTAAAGGGGCATAACTCTAAAACAGTTTAAGTGACGCCACCAAAATTCAAACTTGATCTGTGTCTTGTGGTAATAAGCATTGTGTATAAGTTTCATAACATTTGGTTGAGGCAAATTAAGTTAGAGTACGGTAACCAATTTCTGGACGTACATACAGACGGACAAGGGTAAAACTTAATGCCCCCTCCGCTACGGCGGGGGCATAAAAAAAATATGTAAAAATAACATTCTGATCAATCATTTTTAGGTTCACAACTGGAAAATTATGAATGAAAAGAGAAGTGGAGTATGTGTCAACAAGACAGCAACCCAAAGTCACAAATAACCAAAATACATCTAGGGAACATACAGTTTTCAACAATAGACAGGAGTATATATAATATGTCAAGCTTTTAATCATCTTGTCAAAAATTTGATGTCTGTATCATTGAAATTGTGACATATCACCAACTTTTTACTTGCCATGATGGGTGCAACTGGTAAAGTAGGAACTGTTCCCCCTTCTGGAGCACCCAAGTTTCCTGGTTTTGTTCAAAAGCAGTTTATTCTATCATTTAAAACTTTCACATTCAGTCAACTTTTAGTGTGAGAGTCATGGTTATAAATTCAGTGATGTCTTATGGTGAGGTGAGACATTTAATAATTTGCTATTGTGAGTTGCGTCTTTAACAGATAGACTTGTTAACATATTTTAACAGGAGTAACATGGTGGGTGTCATTGGTGGAGAAGTAACTGCTGAATCTTTCAGAGCCCCTGACTTAACACACCCCTCTGTTATTGGTGGGGTTCAACATGGAGGGTGTCATTAGTAGAGAAGTAACTGCTGAATCTTTCAGAGCACCTGACATAACTAACACACTCCTCTGTTATTGGTGGGGTTCAACATGGAGGGTGTCATTGGTGGAGAAGTAACTGCTGAATCTTTCAGAGCCCCTGACTTAACTAACACACACCCCTGTTATTGGTGGGGTTCAACATGGAGGGTGTCATTGGTGGAGAAGTAACTGCTGAATCTTTCAGAGCCCCTGACATAACTAACACACCCCTGTGTTATTTGTGTTGTTTGTTTTCTGTGTAGTGTTTTGTGGACAGTAATTTGTCTTTTAATGTTTTTCCTTTCGGTATTAATTATTTATTTTTGACGTGTTTTTTTATCATTCCACCTTCTCCTTTTTTTGATGCAAGCATAGTATAAGGTTTACCAATACTAGTTAAGTTATGGGTAAAGATCTGGCCTTTACCAATACTAGTTAAGTTATGGGTAAAGATCTGGCCTTTAATGACAAAAACTTGTTTTTGCAAATGTGATTACTGGAATCAAATTGTTATTTGTTTATTAATTTGAAAATTTAAACCAATACAAACACAATAACATGTTGCACATTATTCTAGTACAATCTGCATGTAGGTAATTTTCATTGGACAGATAAATACTATCCCATTACCTTGGTGGGGCCCATTCATGTTTAGTAGCATCCAATAGAGTGCCAACATATGTCTTGTCTCTCCAAGTTACATTCACTACCAATACTCCTGAAAGTACATCATTTCATATGATATATTATTTCAAAGCATTACTCAAAATGAAAAAGCATGGCTTCTAACTGTTAAGATCTGATAGTTTAGATTCTACAAAACTTGACTTTTTAATCCTTCTGTAAAACAATCTCAAGTTAAATATCCACTTGCATTAATTACACAAGTAAAATTTCTGATGTTATTACTTTAATATCTGTTGGCAAGGAAATTCTTTTATCTAAATTAAAACATTTCTAAGGTGCAAGATATAAATAAAGAAGAATGCCCCCCCAATTATAAATATACGACAAATTCAGCAATTTTCCATTTATAAAGGGACATTACTCTGGATGGGTAAAAGTGATGTCACCAAAATTTGCACTTGATCTGTGTTCAGAGGTAATAAGCATTGTGTATAAGTTCACAACATTTAGTTGAGGCAAAGTAAAGTTAAAAGAATAGAAACAAATTTCGGGAAGTTTGTTCAGATGGACAAGGTATTTCTTAATGCCCCCTTCTGCTAACGGTGGGGCATAAAAATTACAATAGTATTACCCTGGTACCATTCTAACAAGTAGTTTTAAAACAGTTGTTCTATTTTTTGTCTTCGTAAAAATGAAATTGTGAATAAAATATCTTTTATTGTTTTAATGTATGTTGTTGTTTTACTGATCTAGGTAAAGAGAAAGGGTTAATTCATTAAAAGCCAAGTCACTGTGCTACAAGGATAAATAGGTTTTTGCCTAAAGTTGAATTTCAGTATTTCTTTTGATATTTCTAATTATTCATTTAAAGAGAGTGATTTGATTCACATATATCATAAGCTCAGTAACTTTTTACAAATTATCATCCCTTAAGGCTATTACAAATTAATAATATAAGCACTTGGTCATTGCTCAAGGACATATAGGTCATATAGTGATTTTATCTACTAGACTAACTTGCTTTAAACATTTAAGCATTTCTAAGCTGTTATATAATGTCTGATTGAGGTATATTTAATCTCTTTATATCTCATTCAGATATAAGACTTCATATAAAACAAATATTATTTAATTTTTACCATTTTCAGTCTCCTGCCATACAATGCCTTCCAATAGGACATTAGTCCCTGGTTCACATGGTCCAAGACAGTCAGGGTCTGTGGCCACACCTATGCTACAAGCATCTGTCCCCACATGGTTCTGTGAGATTGAGGTAGATGAGTCATTCTGAAAGAAAGAGACACAAACTGATATTAGTCCCTGGTTTACTTAATCAAATAAATTATTGACTTTGTAGCAAGAATTGAAAGATAGAACCATCTTAAAAAATAAAAGATGGCATCACTAAAACATAACATGGGTTTTTCCTTTAATTATGCAAGGATGTTATAATAGGATTGAAAGGAAATATAACTGTTACATTCTATGCAATTCTTTGAAAAATTAGCATGTTGGCCTGAGGCCTATTGTTATCAAAATCCTTGTGAAGGGATATATATGTATTGTGATTGTTTTGTGTATAATATCTAAATGTTAAGTGTAAAACTGTCACTTTGTTGACCACATTCATGTAACAAACTTGCATATACCGGTATATATATGTATACATGTATATATAAAGTGCCTAGAAAATCAACCTAACAATGTTAGGGTAGATCTGATTCTTTACTTCCTCCCCGACCGGGGCTGGAACCTGTACTTTTCATTTCATACTTCTGCGACAACACTGCCTAGCATTGCGCAGATGCCTTATCCCCTCCACTAACTATAGCTGTATATATATATTTGATACATATGTCCTACTGACATCCATAGAGTCTTAACGACTAAATTGACTGATCTTGATAGAATTGAGTTTACTTAGAAAACCTGCCTGCATGTGCAGTTTTACTGCTATATTGTTAATCCCAATTGATGTTTGTTCAAGACAGCCAAATAACAGATGGAGAAAATATCTTTTCCGTTTATAAATATTACCACATCTTACAGCCTTTATATTCACATTGCCAAACAGCTTTCAATGACTACTACCGCTGTATTTATCCAAGACATAATGGTATTTATAAACATTTCAAATATCTTATCCTGTTATTACAACTTTACTAAATTCAAAAGAGCTTGTTATAATTATACAAGTACATTATGTGTATCTGGTAATGATCAAACAACTTGATTATAGTTGCAAGTCTTAGATCGAGGAATGGTCTCTAATCTACATCCTCTCCTTAAATCGATGTCCAAATCTGACATTATAAGGAAATAAGATTAGAGGGTAATAAAATGCTTCGCTGAGCGCAGCCTGATACGACTGCAGAGGTCGAACCATGAACAGTTGGGGCAAATTTGGACACAATATTCAAGCTTGATACTGTTTGAATTTGGATTGTGATCAAATTTTTGACATAATATAGGTTTCTGACACAAAATAAATGTGATCAAATATCTTAAAATTTTGAAATGGGACATTTAATTCACCTAGAATGGTCTGAAATCCAAAATCTAACAACATGGTTAGATTAAGCATATATAAAAAAAAAAAAGAAATTTTAGTTGAAATCAAAGTTTAATTTTGGACCCTTCAAACCTTAATATGGACTAAATTGAAAACAGAGCCCAAAATAAAAAACCTAAAAGTACAATAAGATTCAGCATATCATACAGCCGCAATAATTCAGTTTTTGATGAAATCAAACAAAGTTTAATTTTGGACCCTTTTGACCTCAATGTAGACCAATTTAAAAATGGAGCCCAATATCCAAAATGTAATACAAGGTTAGAACCCCCAAAAATTAAAGACTTTAAATTAATCCCATTGAAATTGGTTAAAAGATTTGTATTTATTTTCAATTGAAGATCTCTTGCTATTGCGCAATACTGTGCAATTGAAGATTTCTTGCTATTGTGCAATACTGTGCTATTGCGCAATACTGTGCAATTGAAGATTTCTTGCTATTGCGCTATACTGTGCCATTGAAGATTTCTTGCTATTGCCCAATACTGTGCAATTGAAGATTTCTTGCTATTGCGCAATACTGTGCTATTGCGCAAAACTGTGCAATTGAAGATTTCTTGCTAATGTGCAATACTGTTCAATTCAAAATTTCTTACTATTGCCCAATACTGTGGTATTGTTCAATACTGTGCTATTGAGCAATACTGTGCAATTGAAGATTTCTTGCTATTGTGCAATACTGTGCAATTGAAGATTTCTTGCTATTGTGCAATACTGTGCAATTGAAGATTTCTTGCTATTGCGCAATACTGTGCAATTATTTGAAATTTCAAAAATTTTCAAGAAAAAAATATGAACCCCCAAAAAAAATCCCCCCAAACTTTTTGAACCTTCCCCCCCCTATGAGTAATTACCCCCAAACTCAACCCCAGCCTTCCCTTTGTTGTATGGAACCTTGTTGTACAATTTTAGAGAGATCCATACACTTAAACACAAGTTATTGTCTGGAAACTAGAAAAATGCTTATTTGGTCCCTTTTTGGCCCCTAATTCCTAAACTGTTAGGACTATAACCCCCAAAATCAATCCAAACCTTCCTTTTGTGGTTATAAACGTTGTGTTTAAATTTCATAGATTTCTATTTACTTATACTAAAGTTATTGTCTGGAAACCAAATGTCTTCGGACGACTAGACGTGATACCAATATAAGACCGCAAAAGTTTTTGTGGTCGTATAGTAAAAATTAAATCAAAAAAGAAATTCCCAACCTATCTAATTTTTTTCATTTTCATTTTCATTATCATATGTGACAATAAATACATATTTTATTTGCCTTGCCAATAGTTTTCATATTATGGGAAAATTCATAATATTTTTAAATCATTTCAGATCTTGTTTCCTCTATCTAAAGTGCCTGTTGGGAAATTACTTGTATTGTACTTATAGAATAATGACAACTTTCGCCATTTTCTTACAACAGAATATCGGGTATGATTGTTAATGACACAATTATCCACCAAAGATAATTAATCAAACTTAAAGGTCAGCTATTTCACAAGCAAGCAACCCTGAACTGTAAAATATACAGGAATAGTCTGCAAGTATGAGCATGGAGACACAATCTACTACATCTACACACCACAAGCAAAAAACTGTTACCTGAAATCAATTTAAAATAAGGAAATGTGGTATATTTGCCAAATGAGATAACTACCCTCCAAAGAAGATTATAAAAACTAAAGAAATACAGCTATCTTACAGGTAAATAACAACTGACAAGCACTGCAGGCAGATTTTCTTTAACTCTCTTTAACAATGATTATCGTTACCAACAGAAATATTAATAACATATGCACACTTTTTCATTGAACATGTTGAAAGAAGCCCTTCAATTTGCATAAAATTATCTTAAATAATATGCCTAACAGCTGGAAGAAGGTACAGAAAAGAAAGATTTAAATTATGGGCAAACCCTGAAGAAACCTTGAAATGTGGACCTAAGAACCAGTGGTATAAAGGGACAGTCAGCATGACATTTTCACATTTTTTATCAGTCCATGATGTTCTAGTGTATTTGTGCTTTCAAATTTTCATTACAATTGTACATGATGAAAAAAATGGAAAGTAATACCAAAAATATGTGTGTTTGTATCTACAAAGGGCATACCATGTCTACTCTTTACTAAAGCATGTAAATGTGTAAATAGTTATATACAAAGGGCATACCATGTCTACTCTTTTCTAAAGCATGTAAATGTGTAAATTATTATATACAAAGTGCATACCATGTCTACTCTTTACTAAAGCATGTAAATGTGTAAATAGTTATATACATGTTGATCATAAGATGTGTACTATTAATTATTTAATTCAATGCGAGAGTAAGTCATATATATATATATATGCTGACCTCTAAATGTCATTTTGTGTCTAGAATTGTCAGCTTCTGTCTCATTGTAGGATACTCTCTTTAACTTTAATTGATTTTTAAAGGATTGATTAACAGAAAGATGAAAACAAAATACAAGTAAAATTTGCTTATAATGAAAATTATTTTTCCTTGAAATAAAATTCTTTGCTAGCTAAAGGATGAACATGATGAAAAGATTGTATTCAACTTCTGTGAATCACTTTTACACAAAGTAGCTAACAATACTTTTATCTTGTGGGCTATACCAGTTTGTAGATTATTTGTCACATATGCTAGTAAGGTTTAATATCAAAAAGGAAATGTGCATACTTCAATCATGATACTTTATCCCTTACTCAAGTGTTTGTTCAGGAAATACTACAAGCACATACTTCTAATGGTGGTGTCTATGTAGTGGTAACAAAAAGGAAATTTAGTATTCTTTCTACAAGGAAAGATTACACTGACAATTCAATGAATAACATTATTTTCCCCATCTGATTTCACCCTGCAGACATCCTTTTATGTGTAATATTCACCTCATATGTAGAAGCAAGCAAAGATAGTCTTCTTTTAAAAGCAAAAATAATTTTAACAATAAATACTTATTCAAATAGTCAAATTGATTTGATATTAATAATATTATTTATAAAATTGAATAAATTCTCCAGTAGAGTTAAAAGTCTTATTACATGACAAGAATAAATGACTTGACCAAATACATACATGTACATGTATGGATCAGCGACTTAATAATTTGACATTTATAAGTAGGTGTAATTTACAGGTACATGTATACATTCTGACTACTTTGACTGATTATATCAACATGCTTTTACATGCAAATTTATCGTTCAATATTTATGTATACATTTATCATTCATGCTCTTCACAAGCTAGGATTACACCAGGAACGCTTTTCTTTGATAAATAACGACCTTATGACCTGTTCATATTTATCTTCAGAAAGTATCCTTCCCAAACTTGAATTAGAAAAACTCAAGAGCTTTAAAATTCATACCACTGCTGCTCTGTTTGTGTACACAGATATATGGCAAAGTCCATGTTTTGAAGTGGGAAACCCCAAAAATCGTTTGGCTCAACAATAAAATAGGAGATGCATTAGATACTTAAGATTCTGTGAATAATTCATTGAGTCCATTGCTTTATGATAAATATCAATAACAAAGAACAGACGGACAATCTTATGAATCTGACTAGTTTAAAAAGCCTTGTCAGATTAGCCAAGGCCAGAACTCTCTGTCCTTGTGAATGTCACACTTAAAAAACTTTTACTTATGGCTTTTAAACATGTTAAATGCTTATCCAATGTATTCATTTGCATTAAAACATGCAGCAATAACACGGACTTTTTAACTAAACTATTTTCCCCTTAAATTTACGACTGTTGTTCATCTTGTAGCCATGGAAACTCTACAAAAACCTGAGTATTTAAAATCAGTAAAGACATGCCTCATTTACACTTGTAAATCAGAAATCCCCTCCCAAATATTCATACATTATAATTTTCCTATAATATACATCCGAGGCCAAAAAATGGACACCTTAGAGCGTACAAATGTACATGTACAAAAGGTGGCGATTATCACGGAAAAAATCCTCTAAAACAAACACTAACCTGTTATACAATATAAATTCGAATTTTCACAGTAACTCAATCATGTCAGTATCATGTTTTAGTCAGTTTGACCTTATAAATATTAAACCTCACCTAAGCCATATTTTAAATTTCATTATTTGCTTATGCAGACTTATTTACCTCTTGCAGGCAAAATTACCAGAAGCTTCTAAGCTTCATCCCAGATGTGATGGTTACTTGCTTTCATTTCATATATTTTTTTTAAAAACAGCATTCAATTTATAAAAGATTCACCATGTCAATAATGTGTTAATCCCATTTCGTTTTACATTCATTACACAAAACTGGACAATTAGCCCTAATCCCAAACTATTGAGTAATGAATTTAAATAGTCCGGAAAAGTTGTCTCTCAGTTAGTAATTTAAAAGGAAAAAGACTACAATAAAATAAAAATTATTTATGAACAAACGATTTTTACCTTAATTCTTTATCAAGATTGATGTCTTACTGTCAAACAAGCTTAAAATATATTTGTAAGATAATCATTCGATCATTATCTCTTCAAATGTCAAGACACAGATGTTTGTTGCTGTAATGTACATGTTCAGGCTGAGCATTGTAAATGGTTGATAGTCACCATACATGTAGGCCATATGTCTATGGGGGCATAGATGGGTGTACGCCCCATCCCCCTTTTGCTTGAAAAATGTATAATTTTTTAGCAAAAAATCGTCCAAAAAAAATTTGGTAATTTTTTTATTTTCTGGAATTACGCCCTGGCACATTTCAAAAATCCTGAATCTGCCCCTACCCTTTATAGTTTTCTTTAACATACAATTTTTGGAAGATGATTAAATAGGACTGACCTACAGATTTCTTAGATGAAATAGCTAATGCATCATTTCCCTAAACAATTAGTAGAATGATGCCATATATTATATACACATGACAGCTTAAAACCAAGAGAACAAAAACTTAGGTTGCACCAAGGTGGTTTTATTCAGAATTAAACCTCCTTGGATGCTATTGATTACAGAACAATTAATTATTGAGTTATTATACAGTTATATATAGGGGAACAGGTGTAGTACTATTTTTAGCATCTAATTTTCTAAAAGTAAAGCGATAGAGCCATGCACACATGAAAGCTACTATAAGGTATTGTACTATACAGCCCAACATACTTCCTCAGATTCTACATCATCTCTCCACTTCACTATAATCTAGGTTAAAAAAACGTTTTGATGACTGTAAACAATCAATTGCCAGCTACTTATTTCCCAATTACTACAGGGAAGCATGGAACCAGATTATTATTAAACACTTCATAAGCATTAGAAATTGGTAGATATCAAAAGGGAATAAGCAAATCTTCTTAAAATTTGAAAACATTGGGATATATATCAAATGGCAGTTAACTATATTTACTTGATGAAACAACTTTCCATGAAATCTAATCCTAACATGAGGTCCCATTTTATTTTTATAATATTTTAAATCTATATTTCTTAACAGTTTTAGGCTTAATATAATCTATGAAAATAACTGAATATTTTGTTTCAAATTATGCAAATAACCAGAAAGTGTTAAGTTATATCTGAGTTATCAGTTTTCCCATTTTTGCTAAGATATTTTGCATTTGAAAATGAAAGTGAAGAAATGATGAGTACAGAATCTTTGGAGTAGCAGACGGACAAACAGTACAAACCTTTTCGACTTTGACTTTTTTTAATGGAAAGCCAATGCCTTCATCTTCTTTGGCATCAAAATCATATGGGTCATCTGTTTTGCTGGAATCTGCAGGTTTAGAATCCAGCGAGACTTGAGAAAATGCTGCATCAAGAGTAGTACTCACTGAAGACACATCCGATCCTTTGTTGACTCTTTCTTTTATCTTTTCTTTTTTATGCATCCCTTTGACCTTGGGTGACTTGTCACCTGAAGTATTCTGTTTCACTTTGTCCATTTGAGTTCCGTTTGCACTATTACTATTAGATTCATTTGACGACATTTTTTCTCCTCCTTTGACAATTTCGTGTTTACCATCACTCTTGCTAGCATTTACATTTTTGCGCTTTATTTTCATTTTTAATCCTCTGTCAACAGTTGCATGGTGTTCTGCCCCGCTCATCGTTTCTCCTACACTCCTCGTTTACCACGGTCAATGGGAGAGACGGAGTGTAGGTGTAGTCAAACTTCCATTTACTGCTGAACTGTGCCATTCATTCAAGTTTCCATTTACTGCTGAACTGTGCCATTCATTCAAGTTTCAGTCTGCATAGCAAGAGTTCTATTCTGCATATATATGGTAGATTCACCATCCAAGAAATTTCTTTTAAACAAACACTATCTCTTTTTTTCCATATTTATCTGAAATTACAAAAAAGCTAATGAAAAATTGAACTCAAAATGCTAATAATATATTTCAATGGACAAATACTCTAAAAAAAAATGTGAACCTAATAAGTGCATATAATAAATCTAGAAATGTTATTTCTATATTGATGGAAAATTCAGAACTTGAGGGAAAAATGATCACACCATTTAATGTCGTATAATGATTTATGTAACCATCATTTTGTTTTTGTAATTGCACTTTCAAGTTTTTTATATAATTTGTTACCACAGATTTTTTAAATGTATACTGGAAATTTAGATTAATTTTTTTTACATTTTAATTATTGCGAAAATTGCAGATGTATAAGTTTTCTTAAAAATAAAATCTCACATTTTAAATTTTGAAAGCCTTTATATACCTAGCATCTCTAAAACAAATCTTAAATGATAATAACTAATTTAGCATTTTTGTCCAGTTTTCAAGTGTCAATAATGCACACAAACATTTTTGAATTTACAGAAATTTATGCTGAATCCTTGTAACCTAACATTAATATAATAATGAATTACCGGTACACAAATGTGTTATCTTTGATTTACTTGCATCTAAATTTGTAAACAAAGATTATAAAATTAGAAAAACATTTAGGAATAAATCAAACTCTAATTGCTTGCAAAAACAAACACAATGATAAGTAACATTTACTAACTGATATCAATACATCCCCAAAATTTCATGAAAACAAGTTAACAAGTTCTTGGATTTGTGTCAGATGTTCAAAAAAAAATCTGTAAATTTATGAACATTAATTAATAGAAAGATTCTACAACCATCTCAAGCATTCCTAAGATTGCAGTTTTTATGAATGGAGCATTTGAAGTACAAGTGTAAATCTTCAAAGAATACACATAATCCATTAACCACAAATTACATATAATCCTGTAATTAGGTATACATCTGTGCTGTTTACTCAAGTCTGAATCCCAACATATGATATTCAAGGAAAACAGCCATCAAAACCAATCATGTTTACCTCTGAATGAACATTGAGAAATTAAAGTCCACACAGGTTTTTAAGAGATCAAACAAAGAAATAATTGTGTTGAGATTAAATGTTTTTGGTATGGGAGGGTGTCATCTGTTAATGTTGCATAGAGAAGTATTAGTTTAAACAAATAAATTGTATTTAATCAGATAGAACTTAGATAACTTATCATAATTGTATGTAAACTTCTTTATCAAATTAACCTAAAGTTGGTGACATATCAACAATTTATAACAATTTCATACCTGTATTACACAGGTAAATCTTATCAAGGTGTGAATTTCAATCTTCAAAATTGTACATTTCACTACTGCATGTTTAAGCTGTCTGGGTGTTCAAAATCTTAACACCACTTTTAACAATTTGAAGAAACAACTAAATTGTGCTAGTGTTCAAAATCTTTCTCATTGTCATATCTATCAGATAATTTTTGGTCAAAGGTCATATAGTAAATAATTTTGTTTCAATATTTGATTTTTACATAAATGTAAATAAATTGATTAAATGAACAAGTGGACTTTCAAATAATCCCCCAATTCATGTTGATTCATGTGAACAAACAAAAAATCTGTGAAAAGACTGAATATTACCGTGACCAAGCCTTTTTAATACTTGAAGTACAAAAGTCACTTTTTATTTAACGCTTTATGTACTATTAAAACTTATGAAATAACACCTAAAGGGAATTCTTTGTGGGCTAATTTGAGTGACAGGTTATTACATTTAGCTAGACTGATGATTTAATAACTAGGTATTTACATTCATTTGGAAATTACATGTACAATTAGATTATTGGTTTAAATCGAATTAAGACAACAATGTGATTGAACTGTGCCAGTTCTTTCTACTCCAATAGATGAAAATACTAAATCAATTAAAATTTTAATAATCTTTAACATTCCCTGCCCACAAAATCAATTATGTAACTCTATTAAAACTTTAATTAACACTGAGTAACATAAATCTTAACTTTAACTCAATATAAAATGTAAGACTATCACTGCTATAGATAAATACATGTTGAACAGGGCAATGCAGACAGTTTATAGCTTCAAATGTATCAAGGGGATAAACTTGGAACAACCATGTCAGGAAAAATAACTGGAATAATTAATAAACTCAATTACCCAAACACAGAAATCTTTACTGACCTAAGTTGTAATGTTCAGCTAAAAAAAATCGATCAAAGCAAAACAAAAGATCTTGTAAAAGTTACCTGGTTGAGGAGGGATACTAAAAATCAAATTACCGCCATTTTCCCAAATAGTTTAATTTTAAAAGCCTTGTTGACATGTTTTGTAAAGCTTTGTCAGAAATTACAGTCATTTGAAAATCTATAGAATATAGTACCTTTAATAACGTTGTGAACCTTTAATGCCATAGTTTGTCACACAAGGGATCATTGCCTGTATTGTTCACATGACATGCCGACATTTTTTGTTCAAAATGTTAAGATTCAAATTGTATTCTCATCGCAATATTTTATTTACCGAAATGAATCAGTTGTAAGGCTGGAAAATTATAAACATACTGGATAATCTATTACAATTTTACAGGAAATTGATGGGAAGCGTATTATAAATTTTGAATTAACTTCAATTGATCAATGAGTGAAATATTACTTAAAAGGGTATTTAACAAAAGTACTAGGATTTAAATCAATTTACTGAAGAATCAATGGTTATGAATGTACCTTGAAATCCTTTTTTATCTCCTTTTAACATGTTCTTAACACTTTATCTTAAAACCAAAAAAAAGGTAAATTTTAAAGAACTGAATCATAATTTCCGTTTTTTTCACACAACTCATTTCTTCTGACCAACAACATTCAAGCTTGCAATTTTTCTTTGTTACACAAAACAAATTGACAAATAGCTCTTAGTCCAAGGTTAAAATAACAAATCTATTACTTTAAATATTCCTCACCAATGCATGTACATCAAAAACATTTCCATTACCAATTTCTAAAACCGAGATGACTGTTTAAAACCCTAGACCTGTTTAACATGATGATATACCATGTGGCATCAGATAATAAATCTATAATCTAACTTTTTATCTTTTCTACATACCCCTTGTGATACACACAGCTATAATAAATGTTTATTTTACTGTCCAAGAAATTACTATTATAGCCTCCCTATGGGCTATCTGAGGCAATGTCATTGTTAAAAGGAAAGGTGTGCAAAATCCTTGTGTCCATACCTATGCCTCTGGCTACACAAAATAAACATAAGACTGAGATAATATACAAGTCAGGTGGTCTAATTGTATAGGTAAATAATTACCACAAACATTTTTCTGTATGCTTGATCAGCACGAGTGAGCATATTGAAAATAAAAATACTGTTTTTATAATATTATGATATAACAGGCTTGTCTATTTACAAAGGACAAATCTTATAGACTCTTTAAATTCAATAAAAGATTAAATATGTTGGGAGTCTTTAAAAAAAAAATTTAGCGCATTAAATTCTACAATACAGTACAAGATATGGCAGTCCGAAATTAAGGAAATTTTACCAGTTTATTATTCAATTCTTAATACATTTTAATGATAATGTGATGAAATTAATCATTGATAAATAAATGTGATAACTTTGTAAAAAAAACTGGTCATTGATTTTCATTATTCGTTCACAAACCAAAAATCACAGAAGGAATAATTGAAGTAGCAATAAAAATTCAGTCAGCATTGAAAAAGAAAATTGTCCGACTGATGAATTCAAGTACATTTTCTTTAAGCTTTAATAAATGAAAGGTAGTTTAGAAAAAAATCTTTAAAAACCAGAAAATGATTACTTTCCCCTAGCTGGAAATTATATTACCGTGAGTGTCAATTTCTCGTCATTAACAACTACTTTATCAATAGCATCAGACAGCTGCAGGCAATTGGCAACTTTCATAATCAGTGGTATTGTATAGCCAAATGCTTTGTTATGCAGATTAAACTAAGGGGATACTTTACCAGGCTTTATTGAATGTTAATTTGATTTGTAATAGTCATATATATATATATTATAAAATTGTTAATTTTTGTATAAATACACAAACTTACAAAAGGATATTGATTTTAAAGTTATTGATTCATGAGCTACGTACATAAATAATCAGACAAGATCACAAACACATACTGCTAAAAAATTGAAGGAGTGAATGATTACTTTAGTTTAATATGCATGATCAGACATGCATATAAAATGCAAACTAATAAATTTGCATTTAGTTGCACATTTGGTGTTTTCTTTAACATTGTTATTTGTACAGCTGCACTGATAATGCAGTTGTATAATTCCTGCCAATGGATATAAGCCCTGAAGTTACATATCCTGAGAACAGTAGGTCTCTAATTAGTAAAGGATGATCAATCTGTTCTAAGCACAGGAAATAAGATAACCCCATTTCAATGACAAATACCGCTTGTTTGTGGCAATTTGCAAATGATGTGTGACCATGAAATAGATCTAACAATATAATTCAATGTGTTAATCACAATTTGATTAGGTAAAATCACTAAGACACATCTGTAATGAAAAGACTTTTACTTTGTAACTTTAACATGTGAACTACTAATCTGGGGGTTTAAACAAGACTGGTATTTAAAATTGATCACCTTCTAAGTTTAAACCTAACAGTATGTGGGCCAGGTCTTAAAAATATTTTAAAATTTACTCTTCTTTAAATATTGATCAAATATGTTAAAGATTTTACAGTTATTCAGTTTATAAATTCTGATTCTTAAGGCATCTGATCATACTGATGAAAAAATTTATAGTCACTAGTTTACAGTTTCAGTATAACTTCATTTAATAATACTTTGAAGTTCAGTGAGTAAAAATCAATCAATTTTAAAAGGAATAGGTTTTGATGTTATTAAAAAATTCAGATTTAATAGTTTCTTCTTCATGGTCTTGTTAATTCCAAGAGAGAAAACAAACGAAATTACTTTTTTTTCTTAATCAGTTGTTCATCAAATATATATAACAATTCATGGTGTCTGTATACAGATTTTGTCTATATATATATACATGTATATGAAATGGATTACCAAACACAAGTGAAAGATTTGTTTAAGAAAATACTTTTAAACATGAGGTCAAACATGCCTAATTTTAATCTATATATATTGAAGAATCAGTATGAACCACTACCTGATTATTTCAGAACTTTAAATCAGCTGCTGTACTTGCAATTTTCCAAAACTACTTATTTTCTGATTCAATACATACATTACACATTCTATTCCACAAGAACATTCTTCAGTGAGATTTTTTCAATCTTCCAGTAACCAGTTTAAACCATTCAATTCCCATACATGTGCATGTTTATTGTTTCCATTGAACCAATCAAATATTATCAATACTGTGATCTACTACTAAAAGCTGTGGAGACCTTTAAATACCAAAGAATCTAAAGTCAACACTTAAAAAAAAAATATGGTGACCTTTTTTGAAAGCAATAAAATCATAAAAACATGTAAACAATTTTTTCATGTCCATTGTTTCATTTATGTACAATAAGAATCCATGCACATGTACAAAAGTTGGCATGTTGACATTTCACTAGTATCCTGTTAAATCATAGCCATATGAAAGTCTTCAGTAAAATCCCTCAGTGTAACACTATACATATTTCATCAAAATTTGATTAAGTAAAGTGTTACCAAAATAAAGGTTAGAATTATGTATGTATCCTGGGTAGATTATCACATTATCACATGATCTGACCATATGTAGTACGGGTATATACTTATAGACATAATTATGACATACACTCTGTCCCCTATCAAATAAAAAAAATATGATCAAACCCAACCATTTCCAGGTTTGAAGCCAGAAATACAATATATTTCCCCCTTGATCTACATGTGATGTTGATGACCACCAATATGATTACATGTCTCTATACATGCCAATCAGAACAAACATATTTGGCAAGTCTGTTTTCAATCTTTTTTTTTCCTTGGTAAAACCGTAGTCTTGTGAATCAATATATACTTCAAATTTGAAATGAGTCTTTTTGTCCTATGTCAAACTTAAAAAAATAATATTAAAATTGAAAGAGATGAAATATAAACTAGCAATAGTTCAATAACTAGGAAAAACTAAATACACAAGAAATAATGCAGTGATATTTTTACATACATAATAAAATAAAAATATTGAATCTGAATCTACATATGAATTCAATACAATTTATTATACATAATGTAATTCTAATTATTTTTAATTCAACTCTTAGTCTACTTAATTGTAACCTTTTCAAAATTTGAACCTTCAGCTTTATATTAATACTAATTCTTACAATTCACAATTAACTTTCCAATTACTAGATAATTAAAATCATTAGTCCACTTCTATCTGTTTATCTGAACATTCTCCTGGTATTAGCTGTTAACTGGACTATGGTCAATAATGCGAAATTCAACATATTTTTTATCCTATTTCTAAGGCCAATATACATGCAAATTCATTAAAATATCAAATAATGATTTAATAAACTTCAAAATTTATAACCTGTCAGATGTTTAACATCATAATCACATTTTTTACAACCTTGCAGTTGTAATCTGGGGCCCTCGGAGGGGGACATTCAACAAAATTATAGTAAACAAACATAAACAATAACCATTTTTTATCCTAAATATTTTAGTTGTGTATTAAAATGGCTGATATGTCTGGCCAGCGTTGAAAGATTTTGTGTAAATACACATGCCGTGATTTTATCCATGCCGACTGAGGCATGATAAATGGCCGAACGATCGTACAAACGACCGGAAAGACTTGAAAGGCGTTGGTTTTTGTTGCTCTGCACTTGTCATAAGCACTTACCATTAATGTTTATACTTTCTTTATCCAGTAAACTACAACATATATTCAAATATATGACAAATTTTCAGGAAAACTATCGTAAATTTTACTATGATTTTCCTTTGTTCGTAGCTTCGCCTACCATCTATAGTGAAAGGTTGGTCAGTGCTGAATGGCCAAGGAGAAATTCTGTCAGCCAATCAAATCGCTAGTTTCTCGCTCACTGAGAGTAGGCCAAAAAACTTGTTATGTGTTTAGCCATAGGCCATTCAAATAAATATCGATTTTATTGTATTAAATCATTCTTTTATTGTTCAGCGTTATAACCGATTAACGTTTAGATGTTTGAAATTAAAATAACGAATTAATTTACAAAATTCATTTCTCAGTTCAATTATTACTCATGCGAAATGGAAATAAATAAATAAACATGAGAAAATGATGAATTATTAACATTATTTCTTTTTTAAAAAACGTTTTGTGAACCGGGCAACTTTGAACAAGTTTATCACCAGCAAATAAATATATGTTGTAAAATAATTTGGCCATTAGTTCAATGGATATTCACAGGATTGGCTCCAGGAGTTAAACAAGACGTTTTAACGACCTTTTTCGTACTTCATTTCTGTAATCTAATTAATCATATAATATAACACAATTATGACATAAATCGCCACTGGTTGTATATTCTAATCTCAAAACATACAAAATTGTTTTAAATTTGTTCTTGTCCTACCGGGCATTTATACAGCTTCCTAAGTGTGAGTTTTACTTATTTTCGAATGCCATTCGGTCCCTATAGTTGTTTACATCTCTGTGGACAGTTATCCCACTAGTCTGCACTGGCAACCACACTACATCTCCTTTATTTGTTTATTGGAAGTATATTTATACAATATGTTTCTGACACGCCTCTGCTTGGTTTTATTTTTATGCATTTCATAAAAGGTGCATACTATCTTGGATCAGTATATATATCATTTAGGATCATCTGCCTTAAGCGACACCGTAAGCTATTGGTAACATGTGAGATATGAAATCAATTGAAATGAGATGAGATGAGAGATTTATTTCAACGAAACAGCAAACCCAAAATACAAAAAAGTAAATAGATTAAAACTACGATAGCAGTGAACTCTAGAATGTTGTTCATTATGTTTAGCTCTAAAGATCACGAGTCCAGAAAAATTGTGAATATTTAACAGAGGCTATCAACTCAGAGAATATAAAATCCATATAATATGTAATTAAAAACACAAAACAAAACAATGTATATACATTAAAAGAGTTGTTTTGAACGCTATGTTTCTCTAATGACAAAAAACACACCAAACATATATCGTTAATGACAATGACTGTCGGAATTTTTTTTATTTGGAACAAGCAGATGAAAATGTGACCTGAAAAGAGCGATAACTAGAT